AGCCACACTCCAGGGGCCAAAGAGCTCGGGCGCCTCAATTAACTGAGCACTGTCCTAGGGCAGCATTTTCCCCTAACCAAAGCCAATCTTCCCCTTTTGGCACCTAGGATGACATACTTGATAACAAGCCTTTAGGATAACAAAAGAATAATTTCCTTTCCTCCTCTCTTCCCCTCAAAGCACCCCAGGGGAGACCACAAATCCCTTCATTGTTGTCACTGTGTTAATTGTTAACTGTTAACAGTTATCCTGTACCCCCTACATTAAAAAAAAAAAAAAAGTATGTTTTTATTGTTTTCAGAGAGGAAAGGAGATGGAGAATCATCCATCAGCTTCCTCCTGCACACCCCCTACGAGGGATTCTGCCGGCTACCCGGGCATGAGCCCTGACCAGGAATCGAACCTCTGCCAGGGGCAGAAACAGAAGACTGGGGACCAGCTATTAGTTATGAGAAATAAAATCAGAACTATTAACCGCGCTCTGTGAACCACGCTGGTTCTGTTCTGATCAGGGAAAGCACATCCTAGCCTGGCTGGGAGCTGCAGGCTCTGGGCCATGAGCGCCAACATCAGCATGCAGCCCCTCCTTCTCTCTCTCCCCAGCTGCCCATCCCTGTGGAAATAAATGGCTGGAACAATCTAGTCCTGGAGGCAACTGCCCTTTCCCACCCCCAGCGCCCCACTGTGCCTGATCTGGCCCTGCAACACCCCCGCTTCCCCAGCCCACCCGCGTGGTTTGTAACCTGAAGTGATTACACCGGGCCCACTCCCCCAGGCCCGTAATCCCTACTTTCCACCCAGCAGAAGCAGCTGGCTCATGGGGAAGAGGATGAGTACTTTCGTGGATGGCCTGCTGCTCCCCCATGCTGCCGGCGTCCCTGGAAAAAAAACGCGCATCTGTGATTCAACCCTGTCCGCTTAGTGTGACGGGCAGCCTGGACCCACTAGGGATCTGGTGCCATCTCAACCTCCTGGCTCAGCCCCTGCCGGGCTATGCATGTTACTTTTTACCCAAGCCCAGAGGTTTCCCTGTTTCACTGTCTCCCGCCTCTCAAATCTATCACCAATGGATGTCATGAGGTAGCCACCATCTCCTCCTTGGATTCTGATGTATTCAAATTCGTGGTAAAGCTGCCATTTCCCCGGAACATTCTCTCAATCCCGGAACATTTACTCAAATTTTCTCAATTTGAGATTTTTGCTTCCCAGCAATTGTCTTCCGTTTGGCTCAAATAAACCCATAAAGAAAAATCTCTACAGATGTGAACACCGACAGTTCTTACAAATGAGTAAAAAAAGACAAAACCCCTCCCAAATAGGCAATAAATAGCACTTCACAAAGGGAGATCACATGATTGGCCAATAAACCAGGATAAACGTTCCACATCATTTGTCACGAGGAAATGCACACGGGAAGTCACCCTGAGTCGCCGCCACATATACCCGCCGAAATGGCTAAAATTAATGACGAAACATCCAAATGCTGGCAAGGATGTGGAGCTACTGGAACTGTGTACCCTGCTGGCTGGCGTGTCAGACGGCAGAACTGCGTTGGAAAGCTGGTTGGCACTTGCCTATGACCGGCAATTCCATATCTAGGTATTTACTCAGGAGAAATAAAAACACTGATGTCCACAAAATCTTGTGCAAGAATGTTCAGAGCAGCCGTATCCATAATAACCCCAACCTGGAAACAATCCAAATGTCCACTGTCTGGCAAATTGCGGTATATTCATATAATAATACTCGGCGATAAAAAGGAACAAGCCACTAATATACTCCAGCAACATAAATGGTTATGCTAAGTGAAAGGAAACTAGGTACAAAAGAATACATACAGTATTCATTCCATTTATACGAACAGGTAAAAGCTCGCCTGTGGAGTGGGGGTGTGTGTGTGGCAGGGATTAACTGGGAAGACACACGAGGGAACTTTCTGGAAAGGTTCTCTAGGGATGTGGGTTACACTGGCACCTGCACCGGTCAGCTCAATGAACCGTACCCTTAACATCGGTGGATTTCGCCACATGTGAATTATGCCTCAATAAAAGAAAAGAGAAAAATAAAAGACAAATTTAAAAAACTCTACTATAAATACCTGATTCAATATGCTTTGTTACTGGACCTAAGAAAACCTTGACCACTCCAAGGCAAAGCAAAAGGCACAGCTTCTAAAAGTAAAACAGTGAAAACAGGATAGGCTCAAACATTCCTCAGACTACCAACCAGCCATGGGACCTGCTGGGAACTACCTGAGCTCTCCTGGCCTCGGTTTGCTCATCTGTAAAATGGGAGGAAGAGCCCTGAGTGGTGTGGCTCAGTTGGTTGGAGTATGGTCCTGTGAAGTGGGGGTGGGTGCAGGAGGCAAAGGATCAAAATTAATTCCTTCCTTCCTTTCTTTCTTTCAAAATTCATCTTTCTAATCTCTCAAAATTCATCTTTCTTCCTTTCTTCCTTCCTTTCCCTCTCTCCTTCTCTTCCCTCTTCCCTCCCTCTCTAAAGAAACAAACAAAAAACAATTTTAAAAATGGGAACTAAGTAATTACTTCACCAGGATTATATAAAAATTAAGCCCATGTGAATCTAGCCTAGTACCTGGCACACTGCACTTTAAGAAATGGTGGTGGTAGGAAACTATTAGGAAATGCATGCGTAAGGTCCATTTATTTTACCTCCCTGGCAATGGTTTATAAGTTTAAGAACCCTTCCAGGAGACTCTTATTGGAACATCTTCCCATCAGCCTCCCCTTTTTCCCCTGAAAACCTGCCCTTCCTGATACCTGATGGCATTCCAGCCACGTGGCTGGTGAGAGGAGGGCGGGCGGGCAGGCGGGGGGGGGGGGGGGGGGGAAGGATGGTCAGGTGCCTTCTTCTCCCTGGCCCTGGCTTACCCCTGTTCATGTAAACCACCGTTTTGGTAACCAAATTACATGGAGAGGGGTCTGAGGAAAACTGTTTTTTAAAAAAGTCTCAAGTGTTTTCTGGAATAAAAAATACTTCCCATGAAGATTATCAGTACATAAGCCAGGTTTCCCAATAACGAAGTTTCCCTAATGTGTCATTCTTACAACTGCTGGGAAGTTCTCTAACCTTCCAAAGGGCCATGTATTTCCAAATGCTCAGACATGCACCCCACCCACCCCTTCCCACAGAGAGCATGCGCCGAGGAGCAGAGAGAGAGCCAGCGGCGTGTCCTCCTTTTAGCACCCGGACACGGTCTGTCTGCCTGGCTCCCCGCCAGCCATGGGCTCCCGCAGATTTACCCTTTGGCAGATCACATCCCGGAGTGCAGCTGCCTAATGCGGTGCCCTAGATTTTACAGATCGCACTCGCGGGTGGACTTGCAAGTCTGCAACTTGAAGTGTTTTCAAAGGATACAGGTCATTTGTATAAAATGTCTTGATGATCCATAAAAGCACAAAACATTCTGAAGCCTCCTCCTATCTGTTGGCTACCCAGTCGTTTCAAATTTCTGTAAAAAGGATTTCCTGGTTTTTATTAGCAAAGGGAGGGTGGAGCCAAGACACAGGTTCTGTCTGCATTCGCCCTGAACCGCAGTGAACCCCACAGAGCCAAGGCCCGTCTGAAACCTCTTTCAAGGCCAAAAAGTTCTATGTGTGTCCTGGGGACGGACTGGAAAAAGCAAAGTTGAAACTATAGCATAGCCCAGAGAAGACCATAGTTCCGGGGACGAAATGTTTTGCTTAAATGGCACAACTACACCATTAGATATAATGTCCATATTATATATATTAAAAAAAAAAAAAAAACACCTGAATTTCAACCAAAAAACCCCACACGGATACTTAAAATTGTACTCTCACTCACGGAGTCCTCTATGCTATCTTACTGCCAAGTGTAAGGTGTTTCCTCACGATGCTCAGGTGTGACCCTCCCTCAAGATGTCACGAACCTTAATGAAATGCAAGGGGACCCAACTTCCGCGTTGGCGCAGCCTGGGGGTGCCCACCATCCCCCCCTCTCCCAGCAGGCACTGGGAGGGGCCCTCAGGTTCCCTCACTGCCCCCTGATGGTCACTGCTCCCATGCCAACAGCTCCTTTAAAAAGTTCACACCTTGCCAATACTGGTTTGGCTCAGTGATAGAGCAAAGGCCTGCGGACTGAAAGGTCCCGGGTTCGATCCCGGTCAAGGGCATGTACCTTGCTTGCCGGCACATCCACAGTGGGGGGCGTGCAGGAGGCAGCTGATCAATGTTTCTCTCTCATCGATGTTTCTAACTCTATCCCTCTCCCTTCCTCTCTGTAAAAAAAAAAAAAAAAAATCAATTAATTATATATATATTTTTTTTTTTTTTTAAAAGTTCCCACCTTAAGAAGGAAATCAGACTTGCCTGCGGTCTGATAAGAAAGGTATAGGGATCACCTGTTCATAAGCAGAAAAAAAGTGGGTGTAACATGGGCTGATAGGAAGGCAATCACAAGGAAATCCCTTCCCAGGGCTTTGCAACAGAAGTGGGGAGAGAGAGTGTCCACAGAGGGGGGTGAACCCTCGACCACTTCATCTCGGACCCGGACGCGCGCCGCCCGGAGCCAGGTGCGGGCAGGGAGCTCCGGTGCACGGGTGACTCACGCGCCCAGGCGCCCCAGGGCGCCGTCCGGACCCGGACACACGGACACACACACACACACACACACACACACACACAGCCCCCGCCCCCGGGGCTGGGAAGAAAGGCAGGAAAGCACGTGCTCCGCCGACAAGCCCCCAGGGCCCGGGCCGCCGAGGGCACTGGCACCCGACGCCGCGGCCGCAGCGCGCGCCGTGCCCACCGGGGACCCCGAAACCTCCCCCAACTCCCCGAACCCGCCCAGGCTGGCCGAGCCGGGCGCCCGGGGACAGGAATTAAGTTTCTAATCATGGAACTGGGGGCGGATTAGCGTCCGGCCTTCGGGTCCAGCCAACCGGGGGCCGAGCCGGGAGCGGAGCGCGGCCGGACCGGGCGGGCGGGGGCGGGGACCCGGGCGCCCCCCGCGCTCACCAGGTACGAGGCGCCGAGCAGGATGGTGCCGGTGCGCACATGGCAGCACAGGCAGCAGCTGTTGGAGTAGAAGCGCGTCCAGGGCGCGATCATCTTCATGGCTGCGGGCGCGGGCAGGGGCGCGGGCCGCTCAGTGCGTGCGGGGCCCCGGGCGGGGCTGCGGCTCCCGGCCTCTCCGGCTGCGGCTGCAGCCTCTGCGGCTCCGGCTGCGGCCTCTGCGGCTCCGGCTCCTCCGGCTGCGGCCCCTCCTGTCCGGTTCGCCCGCTGACCCAGGCGGCGCGCGTCCTCGAAAGCTCCGAGCCACTGCGGGGCCGACTCTGCGCTCCGGGACCGGGAGGGGGCGGGGCGGGGCGGGGCGCGCGGGGGCGGGGCGGCCGGGCCACGTGACCCGCGCTCCGGCCCGTGACGTCACCCCGGCTCCGGCCTGCGGCGCGCGGTCCCGGGTCGGTGGACCGGCCTGCCCGCCCCCTCTCTTTGGGTGACTCCATCAGGGACCGAGATTCTTTCTTCCTTTTTTATTCTTTCTTTTTTCTTCTTTACAGAGAGGAAGGGAGAGGGATAGAGAGTTACCGTAGAAACATCCATGAGAGAGAATCATCCACCAGCTGCCCCCTGCACACCTCCTACCGGGGATGTGCCTGCAACCAAGGTACATGCCCTTGACCGGAATCGAACCCCGGACCTTTCAGTCCGCGGGCTGATGCTCTATCCACTGGTTTCGGGGGGACTGAGATTCTCTCCCAGCCCCCCACCACCACCCTCCACCCGATGCCCCGCACGCATCTTGCGGATGATCTGCGGGTGCAGGGCTCTCTCTGCTGGCACCCTGCACGCGGGAGGAGGGAGGAGGGAAGAGGGAGGAGGGAGAAGGGCCGGTGTGATTCCGGGCAACGGCGGCCTTTTGAACCGCTGTGCGCGCCGCCAAGAGCTATTGGTCCATTGGTCCGCTCCCAGCTCAGCCCCTGGGCGGGCATCGCTTCCCAGAAAAAGGGATGTGAGTCAAGGGCAGCCTCGCCGTGCTTTGGGCAGCGTTTTTTTTTGTTTTGTTTTGTTTTGTTTTTTTTCATCAGGGCTGCAGCCGGAAAGAAGCAGGCATCAAGCCCCGCGGTCGGCAAACTGTGGCTTGGGAGCCGCATGCGGCTCCTTGGCCCCTTGAGTGTGGCTCTTCCACAACATACCACGGCCTGGGCGAGACTATGTTGAAGAAGTGGCGCTAGAAGAAGTTTAAGTTTAAAAAAAAAAAATTGGGCTCTCCAAAGAAATGTCCATCGTTGTACTGTTGATACTTGGCTCGGCGGACGAATGAGTTTGCCGACCGCAGATCAAGCCAGTTGTTGCCACAGGGTCTCTGCAAGACACAACAGACCTTGAAGAGGGACTGCAAGACGGGACTCCGAGTTGGGGTTCTGGTTTTCTGTTTGTAAGCGCGCCTGTCCTAGAGGACCCTCCTGGGATAGGGTGAAGAAAGAAAAACGGCCTCTAGTCCACCAAGGAGGTTGAGGTGTGAGGGAAGGATTCTATTCTTGTTTGAACTGTCCTGGGAACTTGAACTTGTGAAGAACGTTCCAGTCCTGCCTCAATGCCTGATACACATCAAACCTCCAGATAACCCCCTGGTGACCCCCGAAGGACTGAGGAGAGGGTGTTCAGGTGCCCAGACCACGTGACACCCAGGATCCAAACCACCTGTCTTCCGGAGGGTGACCCTCCGGGAACAGAGCAGAGGCTAAGAATGCAGATTGCTTCTTCTCAAGAATGTGCTTTTGCCCCTCCAGTGAGGCTCAGTGGTTAAGCGTGCACCCATGAACCCAGTTGCCCATTCCATCCCCAGTAGGGGGTGTGCAGGACACATCAGATCCATGACTCTCGTCACTACTGCTGTATCTGCCTCTCTCACATTCTCCCTTCCCCTCTCTGAAATCATTAACACATATATATTTTTTTATTTTTTTAAGAATGTACTTTTTACTAGAAGAACCCTCTGCTTGTCTTTCTTCTTTGGAACACTCTCCATTGCCCAGTTGGTTTCCAGTTTGCAAACCTTGCAAGCCTTGGGATAAATCTATCATTCATTTCTAGCAAAGCCTTCAGCCTCTTGAGTTTGTTTAACACCTTGAATCACTGTTGAGAGCCAAGCAGCTCAGATAAATTAGATGGTGTCAAAGTTTCATTTCAAACGTGGAGCAGGAGAAAAACTGGTTGGATTTAAATTCTTAAGGACAGGCTGTATAGGAAGGGAGAGGAATGGTAGATAAGAAAGGTTTCAGTTCAGGACTGGTTAGTTCAGTGGTTGGCAAACTCATTAGTCAACAGAGCCAAATATCAACAGTAACAACGATTGAAATTTCTTTGGAGAGCCACATTTTTTAAACTTCAACTTCTTCTAATGCCAAGTCTTCAAAATAGCCTCGCCCAAGCCGTGATGTTTTGTGCAAGGGGCCAAAAGAGCCGCAGTTTGCCGACCACTGGGTTAGTTTAAGAGGCTGTAAAGCTGTCCCAGTCTTACTGTGTAGCTTAACCCTGGGTCCACAGTGACCCGAGTAGCATTCTCAGAGGTATCAGGTGTGGGATTGCCATCAGACATACTAAGCAAAATGGTTTTGGGAGTTAGCCAGAAAGCCCAAACAAAAAAGTTGGCTTGCCGAAACCGGGTTGGCTCAATGGACAGAGAATCGGCCTGTGGACTGAAAGGTTCTGGGTTCGATTCTGGTCCCCCAGTAGGGAGAGTGCAAGAGGCAGCTGGTCGATGATTCTCTCTCATCGATGTTTCTAGCTCTCTATCCCTCTCTCTTCCTCTCTGTAAAAAATCATTAAAATTTTTTTTTGTTGTTGTTGGCTTTTGTTTTGTTTTCTCACCACAAAGTTCTGTTTTCCTTTACATAAGGGAGAGGTTTTTTTCCTCTGGAATCTTCCATTTAATATTTGATTATGTCGATAATCACTTTTAACCAGCGATAGGACAAACATTTGTGCTCTGAGAAGAAATGGAAACTGAGAATCAGGATGGGGAATGCCACTTTCCAAATTCAGACTTCAAGCAAGTTCCCACTTCGCCCTCCCCACCAGAATTTCAGTCTTTTAGGCGGCTGACTGGCTGATTCAGGAAATTGTATATTTTAGCATGAGTGTTCTCTCTTGGCCGTGACCAGCACGGCTAGAGAGCGGATGAGTCCTGAGTAGGGGGCGACTGGGGACTGAGAAAAAGAAAGAGACAGACACAGAGACAGAAGGGAAAGCTGGGGCCAGTTGGGACACTTCTTAGATGGAGAGACAGTGACTCACAGCTAGTGCTACACATTTATTATATACAGCATGATCCCAGAGGGTTCTACTGGAGTTTAAGACAAAGAAAATTATGTGAAGTCATGGTTAAAGATCAAGCTGCAGTTCCTCATTCTTGGGGCTTCTTTGTAATTGTCACTCTTGGCTGAGCCTGGATAATTTTGTCCATTCCCGGTGCCTGGCTGAACTTAGGTAAGGAAACCCACCCGCTTGGTGCCTGAGCTAAAGGTCAGGCTAACAACATACCTGCCTCCGGCAAGGTATGTTTCCAGGATGAGGCTCTGCCAACACCACTGGACTCAGCCAACAATTAGCTCATGTGCCTTCCCAGGTGCCCTCTACATTTCAGAGAGCTCACTATTCAAGATGCAAATTTGTAGAAAAATGTCAAATTTCTCTAGATGAGAAGAGAGGCAGGAAGTTAAGAAGACCTGGCTGGAGAAAGGAGGTAGGCAGAGTGAAATAACACATTCTAAGCAAAGTTTATTCCCTAAAACTTGATGTTAGTGGCTTTTCTAGCAGAGTCCCCCCCCCCCTTTTTTTTTTTCTTTTTTTGGATGCAAGAGAATATGATGATTGGCCTTAAAACAAGAACAAAGGCTTCCCAAGGAACTGAGTCACTCATTTGCACCCAGCAGCAGATTTGAGTGGAATGCTGATTGCATTGGTGCAGTTATTTAGACAAGTCACCTTGTTTTCATTCCTTGGAGCCTCAGCTTCTGGGCTTCCCTTCCTCCTTTCCTGGTCAGGTTTCCCTGCAATTCGCAAGTCCCTCCACTCCCATTCATCACTCAGCGGGGGGCTTCATTACCAAACCTTAACCCTCCTTACCTATAGGATGTTAGGGTTTGCCACCTCTTTGTTATCCAGGTCCTTGGCTTTGTCTTCCTATCCTCCAGTTTCTCTCTCCATGCATCCTCCTCTGTCCCCCTTCTTCTGAGTTCAGATTTTTTTTAATGAGTTGGAGAACATTTTTCTTCCTGTCAGATAAAGCCACTCTCCTGCCCTGACCGGCGTGGCTCAGTGGATAGAGCATCATCCTGAGAACTAAAGTGTCCTGGATTTGATTCTGGCTAAGGGCACATGCCTGGGTTGCGGGCTCGATCCCCAATAGGGGGCGTGCAGGAGGCAGCCAAACAATGATTCTCTCTTATCCTTGATGTTTCTCTCTCCTTCTCCCTTACTTTCTGAAATCAATAAAGAAAAAAAAATTTTTTTAAGCCACTCTCCTTCCTTTTTCAAATTTCTTATTTTCCAGGAGTTATTGTGTACCAGTCTGTCTGTTAGACATCCAAATTACCCAATGTTAATTTGAATGGCAACCGTGTGTAAGACATAGAGACTTAAAGGCTACAAAGATTAGAGTCTTTTGCTCCTGCTCTCAAAGTGTATCATCGACTCTTGTGCCCAAGTCATTATGACATTAGTCAGAATGTGTGCCCAGTATTCTTACAGGGGAAGAAGAAAAAAAACAAACAAACACATGAGAAAGCAGAGGAATTAATTACATTAAAAGTGTAGGGAGCTGGCATCAGTTGGACCCTGTAAAGGGGGAATAAGATAACAGGCCAGGAAAGGGGAAGGCAGAGCCACTTGCTCCAGGAGTTGCTTAGAGGCACACAGTCCTGGGCTAAGAAGGTCTCCCTCAGGGCCTCGTGGGTAAGACTCTGTCCCAGGAGAGACCTCAGACCCCTTTCAACGGCTGAGGAATTCCAAGAGTTGCCATCTAGCTCTCCTGGGAAGGGAAGGTTCATTGGAAAGGAATAATACCTTGGAAAGGAACCCAAGTTTCTATGCCAGTGGGGGCTGCAATAATG